GGCCATCAAGTATCTGAAGGATGTCACTTTACAGAAGCAGTGTGTGCCATTCCGTCGTTACAATGGCACAGTTGGTAGATGTGCCCAGGCTAAACAACGGGGCTAGACACAAGGTCGGTGGCTCAAAAAGAGTGCTGAATTTTTGCTGCACATGCTTAAAAATGCAGAGAGTAATGCTGGACTTAAGGGGTTGGATGTAGTCTCTGGTCATTGAGCACATTCAGGTGAACAAGGCACCCAAGATGCACCATCGTACTTACAGAGCTCATGGGCGGATTAACCCATACATGAGCTCCCCCTGCCACATGGAGATGATCCTCACTGAAAAGGAGCAAAGTGTTCCTAAATCGGAAAAGGAAGTTGCACAGAAGAAGCTATCCCAGAAGAAACTGAAGAAACAAACACTTATGGCACAGGAATAAAATCAGTATAAAATAAATGAAATGGAAAAAAAAATAATAGAAGTGGAGGGATCAGACAATAATAAAATGCAAAGCTCTGCAAGGCTGAACCACATGGGAAGGTTCCGTGTTCATGTCCAGAGACCTCCCTAAGCATACGGGCACACATGTGCCTATGAGCTGAAGCTGGGTGAATTTGGGGGTAGATGGTGTGTCCAGACCCTGTCGGTGTTACACATCTCTGTCTTTTTTTATGGAAGAAAGAAACAAGGAAACTTAAAGAGAAAAAGAAACAGTAGAAGCTGAGTTCAGCAAGGTGGCTGGACACTTGCCCACAGAGTCCTGTGGGCCATGGTGAGCTCTGGAGCTTATGCTTTGTGGGAGAGAGGTCACTGAGGGTCTTTTGATGTGTCAGAGGATCTCATTTGTTTGCTGCTGTCCTCTTTCCAACTGATAATTTGAGAGCAGGGACAGTATTTAGGCATTCACTCATTCATCCATTCGCTTACTCGGCAAACACCTGTGGAGCACCATCTGTGTGCCGGTACAGGGAGCTCAGCATCTAATGGAAAGGAAGAAGTAAAGCACAGATGTCAGGTTCTATGTCACATGTGCCCTAGCCTGGCACAAGAATCCACCGAAAGCCCAACGCACTCCCACGTCCCCAGAAAGGGCAATAGCAGCAGTCCATCCAGTGGCTCTGAGCCCAGGATCTCCGGTCTCTCGGGCTGGTCCAGATATAGCTCCTCATGGTTCTGCAGCCGAGTGCCAAATGATGCATTTACTCCCTCGCTGATGTGCTTAGTAAGCGATGTGGACAGGAAAACAGGACAGCCATGATACAGTTTCCCTTTAGAAGGAAGAAGGGAACAGCACGCACTGGTCACCATCCATGGCACATGCGACCCTTCCAGCCTCCTGCCCCAGGGGGAGTGGGGTGAGGTTCCGAGGTCAGTTCTTCAGTGGCTTGTGCTCTAAGGTTGGGATGAAGGTTTCTTCTTTATGATCCTCCATGGCCATGCCTGGTATGGGATGGGGCAGGAAAGGGGCTAGATTCCTAGACTCCTCTTCTAAAGGCCACACTGTTTTTGCTTATTTCCATATACCATACCTGCCTCTTGCATGGTGTCTAGACAAAGGAGGTTTTCAATACATGCTTGTTGAGTTAATACTAGTGGTATGCCCAGAGGACACCACCTGCGGGTACGTGGGCAGAGGTCTACAGCTCTAGAGCATGGGAGTGGGCATAAGGATGACCCTGAATGTGAGACTTGGGGGACAGAGATGGGACTGCTCATCTCTGCAACAGGAAACACAGGAAAGACAGCTGCTTTGGGGGTAAATGGAGAATTAGTTTTGAGTTAGAGGCACTGGTGGCAAATTCAAAGGCCTAGAAGTCTCAAGATCAAAGGATGGGATTAAAGGTAAGAGGAGAAGTTCAAGAGCAGGAAGGAAGTCAGTTATGGTCTTGGCATGTGAATGGGGCCTGAGATATCAGAAGACTGGCTCTGGGTGGTGACAGGAGCGAGGCCAGGGAGGGACTGAGGAGGGAGGAAGTGGAAGCCCTGCAGAGGTCACAGAATTCCATGATCCGTGTCCTAGCCTTCCTCAGTATCCTTTCCACTCAGTAGACTCAAAGCCAAGTGATGGCTCAGTTCCATTCCTGAGAGACTTCCGGGTCGATGTGAAAGGAGAGCTGAGACCCTTGGGAAGGAGCAGGCTTGTGTTTCTACGGCCACCTCCTCACAGTTGTCTCACAGTGAAGGGTCTAACTGCAGACTCTGGTACCACCTGCAGGAGAGCTGGCCCACTCAGACCACGGGTTTGTGGGAGGGAACAGCAGACTTTTTCTGGTAGCATCTTCTAGGATGTCTTAACTCAGTTTTGAAATCTTGGGAGAAACTTCTCTCTCTCTTTTTTGAAGTTTATTCATTTATTTCTTCTTACAAGTAAAGAGAGAGTGGGGCCAACAGGTGGTATGGTGGTTAAGGGCGCTGGCCAATCGCGGTTCAAGTCCCAGACTGGTGGCTTCCTTTCTCACTTTCTCTCTCTCTCTCTCTCTCCCCCTTTCTGGTCAAATTAAAATGAATGAGTGAATGAATGAATAAAATTATTCTTAAGGGAAAAAAAAAAAGCAGAGAGAGAGAGGCCCAACGCACAGGGTCTTCACACAAGCGTCAGCCAGTCCAGATCATGGGCATGTGTGCACGTACTCTTCCAGGGTGCTCAGGAGATCTGGGAATGCGAACCCAAGACCTATCCCATTTGGGTCCAGTTGCATTACTGCTGTGCCACTGTCTGGCCCCAGGAGGAAGTTCTCTAGAGAGCCTCGGTCTGAGCAGACAATCTTCTATGTCTTCCAGTCCCGAGGAAGCTTTGGATGAAGTTCAAGAAAGCAGCAGGCTGGGGAAAAGTCTCAGAAATGTCCCCTCTCTCTGGCACACAGGAGGTGCTCAGCGGCGCTTTGTTGAATGAATGAGTGAATTCAAGCATTCTTCAACAAACAAATGAATGCTCAGGTGGCCCCAGGAATTTGCAGAAGGGTGCTCCAATGCCTGGTAGATGGGTGACTCTCGATCAATGTTTACTGGGCAATGGGTGAGTGTGGGGTGAGGACTCAGAGGTGTCCTGAGCCCACAGAGTGGCCATTAAGTCCTAAATAAATAAGCGTGGTTATTTCCCACAGTTGACTTACAGGATAATGAAGTGATATACTCTCCCTTTGGGAATGCCAGAATCTCATCCCTCTTTAATTTTGGCTCCTCCACCATCAGCTGGGGCTGCTCTCCGTTCCTCTGACCCAGAGGGAGGAAGAGCTGGAGGAAGCGGGGTGGGAGTGCAGTCAGCGCCCATTATTCCCCAGGTGGGAAGCACACAAAGGGTAGCTCTCCCCATTCTCACTCTCACAGTTGGACAGCTTGGATCCTTCTAGCAATCTGGCTAAAGCCAGACATTCTCTCTCCTCCCTCTCCCTCCTTTCTTGAAATGGATTTCCAGTCCGCGGGGGCCTCTACCGTGTCTGTGCTGTCCCTGGCATGGCTCCAGTTCCAAAAATTACCATGCAGCTGCCGTGGCTGTGTCATTATCCTGAGCCTACACCCTTGGAGTGGCTGTGTCTGGCATGGGGTTAGACCCCGTGGACACAAGGAAGTGTCCCTCACTGGCTCTGCCTTCAGGGAGTGTCCACTGGCTCCTAGGACATCTGGGAGCCTTAGAGTGGCCTCTGTTCAGGAGAAAAGAGCTCCCTGACCGTCAGCATTCCTGTCCAGACTGGTAGGGGGCTCTCAGGGGGACACGGAGGCCCTGAGATGCTGGTAATGTCCCTCAGTATCACCCCACAGGCCCAGCTGCCTTGGTGGGACCATCCCCGTAGCACAAGTCCTGTGGTGTGGTACACATGCAGGCGTCCTGTGAGCGGACATTCTCACCTGCCTCCTGCTGCCCCTTGGGGCCCAAGATCCAGCCTAGGGCTGCTGGTTGGGTAGAAGGGATGGAGTTGGGGTGTGCTCACAGTTAATGAGCTTTCTTTTTCTTTTCTTTTTATTTCCTGGTTTGCCAGAGAGCACAGACCGTCTCTGGAGGCAGAGAGAGAGTGAGGGGGGAAGTGAGAAAGCACCTCCCATGGGATGGTCATGCCTCAATCCTTTCTCCTCCATTTCTCCTTTTGGGATTTGGGCACACGCATGCACACATCTGGTATGTTTTTCAGACCACCAGGTCTGGGACTCAAACTGTGTAGTTGGTCATGTGGGATCCAGCTATCTTGACTGCCATGCCACCAGCTGGCTCAGTTAATGATCCTTCATGGCACTCTGGGGAACATCTGGCCAGCAGTTTGGTTCAGGTAATGAGATGTCAGGATGCATGCATCCGCTCATTCATCTCAGATGTGTCCTTCCCCAGTGTCTCTCACTGGTGGCTCTGGGAGCACAGGGCTGAGTGTGGCTAAGGAGGAGGAGACTGGGCCATAGCATCTGTCATCTGTCATCCATTGCTCCTCAGCACTTAGTGCCTGTAGGCCCACTGGACCTGACGGGCTATTTCAGCAAGAAGCAAAGTCCCAAAGAAGATGCATCATTGTGCATTTGAGTTCCAGCAGCTCTGGCGTTAGCCTGTGAGGGCTCACTTGTCCTTACTAGCTGTTCTCTTTGAAGCAGCTTGTCCGTGCCCTGGTGTTTTACTAAGCAGGCACCTCTTATACGTCTAGCTCAGTGCCCGGCCCGGCTGTGCCCGGGGACACTGTCAATCTTTAGGTGCATGGTGGTCTCCACTCCGGTGCACGGTCTCCTCAGGACTCCTGGTCTTAGGGGTCTGGTGCACTCTGGGATCCACTGTATCCATATCCAGCAGAGCATTGTTGAGAACGTGGGCTTTAGAGTCAGAGTGACCAGTTCGAATCCAGACCTTGTGATTTACTAGCTCTGACCTTGGTCACATTTTTTAAAAGCCCCTTGAGTCTCAGCTCCCTCATTCATACACAGGAGATAATGATTTCTGCCTCAGAGTTGGGGTGATGCAGTTGGCCCTGCCTGTGTACTAAGGCTTACCATGAGGGGCCCCTCCTGCCTGTGCCCCCTCTGATGCTGACCTTTGTCTCAGGTGACAGGAACACCCTCCAGAGGCTTTGATGAGAAGGCTTACCTGTCGGCCAAGCAGCTGAAGGCCGGAGAGGACCCCTACAGGCAGCATGCCTTCAATCAGCTGGAGAGTGACAAGCTGAGCCCAGACAGGCCCATCCGGGACACGCGCCATTACAGGTATGGCTTTCATTATGTCAATAGAGAAAGAAAGGGTGAGAAAAGGCCACCATTGTGTAGCTTATTTTCTTTCACTCATGTATTTAAGAAATGAGGATGATTTCTTTGGACTCAGTCTAGTAATTTAGACATTTGATTCCTTAGTGTTTCATGGATCTGC